GCCTCGGACTAAGCTTGGTCTGCCGGACCAAGCTCCTGGTCCGGCGGACCGGGATCTGGGAAACTTTTCCAAAATTCGATTTTAGGGTTTTCTAATCTTATTTAAGTTTGGGATTTCGTCCAAACTTAATTAAGGCCGACCTAAAACTCAGAGAAACATCCTAGAACCCTAGAGAACCTGTTCTCTTCGATTTCTATTGTCCCGGGATTGGATCTCGTCTCTTGAGTTACCCTTTTCTTCACTAATCCTAGCAGATTCGTTCCAAATCGTTTGGAATCCTTCCCGTCGGTGTGGATACGTGTAGAGGGACTGTAACTTCAGTCCTAGGTGATTTAGAACAGGCCCCGGATCGAAATAAACTTCAAGTCTCATCGAGAACGAGGTAAGTAACGATTCCCTCGGTGATATACACGATCTTTTGGGTTTTGCGAGTTTGGTTGTGTGTGACGTTTGACTAGGTTTAGATCTTTCTTCCGCTGCATGAAACCTAGTAAACCAAACCCTATATCGATATGATCGCATGCTAGGAACCCGTAGATAACCCAACAGAACACTCTCCAACACTTGAGAGAGTTTCTTCTAGTTTCCCTTAGCACATCTGATGGCTTAGGGATGAGATTAGGTCGAGAGTAGCATTCTCCACCTGCTTCCCCTTGAGAAAAGGCGAGAAAAAACACTTTGGGTCTTCTGAAGCCTTGGTCCGAAGCTGACCAACGTTTGGTCCGCCAGACCAAGCTTCGTTTGACGAGACTTGCCGACAGTCCCTGATCCGGGGGACCAAGATTCTGGTCCGCCGGACTAGACAAGTCTAAGGCAATAAACAGGTCGACTGACTGGTCTGGTCCGCTAGACCAACCAGGTCCAAACCAGCACGCATAAGTCCGACTGACTGGTCTAGTCCGCCGGACCAACCAGGTCTGAACCAACACTCACAAGTCTGACTGATTGGTCCGGTCCGTCGGACCAACTTTTGGTCAGCTCCGGACCAAGTTAATTTTCGAACAATCGCGTCCATGTTTCCAAGTCAGTCTAGTCCATCTGGCCAACTCTTGGTCAGGTCCGGACCATACCCAAAATCGGGAAAAATCTAATTTTTCCCGTGCGATCCTTTCGCATTCATACACATTCATCCCATATATGTGTGATCCTTTAGACTCCTCCGAATGCGATAGTAAACCCGAGATCCAATCTCGCTTTACAAATCATAAGCGGTCTCTACCAAGACATTATGATTAACTATATCGAAAAGAGTTAGATCTGATTTAACTGAACACCAGAGATAGCTCCAACGATGATCTTCATTGTCTCACGATATCATAAATCAAAACACAGTTCGATTGCTTTGTCGTATCCCGAGTAGACTGTAAGAGATATATGACATTCATCTCTAGTGCGGCCACACATTTCTACAGTCTCCTTCCTACGACGAGCCCAACGATATCTCTCTATTTCGAGAGGGACAAAGTTTCATCTTGACTATCTACTATCCATTAATATATAATTCGTAATGTACCTGAAACACGCCTTTATAATCATCCAGTTAAAGATGACGTTTGACATAGTCAAAACACATTACTCCTGATGTTGGATACAATAGATATCTCAAGTCTGAGGATACAAAGTGAACCATCATGTGAGATTCAAGTCATGGATAACATCCAATCGAAAATCTCACACGAGTCATCCGGTCACTTTTTCCAAACAAGTATCATGATCGTGATCTGTATCCAATACACATGATCATCACTATGATCATCGATCACGCCTCATGTTAGTCTTAATTCATCATTGCTCCCACAATGACAACCGACTAAGGAATTTAGGATTGTTCATAACGATCCATGGATGTCATTATTTATCAAATATGCAAAATAAATAATGAACAAATAATGCTTCATCCAATGAATTCATCATAGTACACAAGTTATCATATCGTACGATTATCATAGAGCATCACAACATGCACTAACTTGACTATGGTCGATGAGTGTGGCGTTGACATGGTCTTAGACGAGGGTCGATGGTTGTGACATTGACCTCTCCCAAATCGATAGGGCGAATCTGACCGATTAAAATTTAAATTAAATATTTCCGTAACCTTTTGTCAAAATTACATTATTTTGATAAATTTTAGGGTTTTAGATATCATTAAATATGTATTTTTATCAATTGTTATATGGAAAAAAAACATTATATTCATAAAGGAAAAACATTATAAATAATTAAATCATATAATTTAAAAAATAAGAAAACACAATTTTGCCTTCCAGGTCTAGGTGAATTGGTTTGAGAATCCAAAATTCTCCAGAGGTAAGTTAGTTTGAGAGTTCAAAATTCTTTACTGAATCGCGGGTTTAACACTTCTCTATGAACCTTTCAACCAATACATGGTTTACCGTAATTTATAGACTATTGCATGGGATCAAAGTTTACTAACGCACCCGAAAAACTGTGGTTGAATTCTCACCATTACCAAAAATGAAAAAAACCTATATAAATATCTAAACTTTATAAAACATGTCAAATAAATATCTAAACTTTTAATTTGATCTAATTAATACCTTAAATATTGAAATATTCTAAATTCATATTTCAAATATTGAAGTATTTCAAATAGATATCATAATCTATAAAAATTGATCACAATTTGATGATATATAATTAGAGATTAATTTAAAAAAAAACAAAAAACTCACGAAATTGATAACAATTACAAATCTCGGTGACGATATATAAATTAAATATTAATTTTAATAAAAAAAATAAATTGATATTATAAATAAATTGATTTTAATTTTATGGTTGGACTATTGTTTGGAAATTTTAATATCTAATATATTAATTAGTTAAAATTAAAAGTTTAGATATTTATATGATATATTTGTTATTTATACGAGATTTTTTTTAAAAACACGATTTTGCATAAAAAGAAAAAGAAATAAAACCAAATGGTAGGCTCTATTATTATTTCGCTCTCCTCTCTCGTCTCGCTCTCCGGCGACGCTTCTCCTCCCTGGGTTCTCTCTGTCGTCGCTGGCGTCCGCCGCTGGAGTTTCGTTCCGGCGACTCGTGCTTGTTCTCCGCCGCCTTCTTGACCGGTTTGTCTTCTCCGTCACCGTCTGATTCAGTTCTCCGTCGGTTCACACTTTCTCATTCCATTTCTCGTACGCTGGTGTCAAGAACAGGTACATATAGGATTTTTCTGCTTTCGCGTCGGAATGAGAAATATTTTTTTACCAGATGGTGTGAAAAGCGCGCCCGCTCGCTCACCTAATTGGCTTGGTTACGTTCTAGGGTTTTTTGTTGGCGACAATTTGGTTTAGGATTTGGAATCGATGTGCTTTTGTCTTGTTATCCTTAGTTCAATTTATGTCCATTCGGTCATTTGTTCATGCTTGAAACCGTGAAAAGATTATAATTTTGGATGGGATCTGCTTCTCGGGAACTTGAAGCTATCTTAGATTCATGATACTGGATTTGGAAATATTGCACGGAATCCGGAATTTGTCTGTTTTCCTTGAGGTTTTCTACGTTAGAAGGTTGAATCTTTGATTCAGTTAATGTTATAATTAAACTCCATTCTATTCTATGGCTCTGCTGATTTTCTCTGTAAATGTTTGAAGCCACTGGAAAAATCATTATTACCCCTTCGAAGTGCCGTTGCTTTTGCAGGATTGAAGTATAATCCAGGAGAGGAAGAAAAAACACGAGTAAGCCATAGTGAGAGAGGAATGTTTCTGCATGTGACTGATTCTAGGGTTTCCTCGTTTGTTGAGGGATTTTTGCCTTGGGCACTCAATTATTGTCTTGCTCATATTTTGCCACACTTTCTTGATGTATCGTGGTAGCTATCTGTCCGTTTATGGGATTCTGTTTATTTCTGAACGTGGTTCTTGTTTGCCGGGGAACTAGTAGTCGCTTTAGTTGTCCATGTTTGGAATCTTGTGAATCTGCTTCAAACCCTCTCTGTCATGGTAGCTTGGGTTTTCATTTTTAGGGTTGTTCCAGCTTTATAATGATTATTTGGATAACATTGTCAAACAGCTATAGCAAATTGATGAACCAAAACCATGGATGGCCTTCATGGAAGCGACGCCCGAATGCACATGGGGGATGCACAAGATCCAATGCATGTGCAATATGAACATCATGGTTTGCACCACATCAACAATGGAAATGGTATGGTTGATGAGCATGCTGATGGTGGTGCCACCGGTGAGATGAATGAAGGAGTGGAAACAGACATTCCTTCTCACCCTGGAAATTTATCAGATAGTCGTGGTGAAGTGGTTGACCGTGGGACTGAAAATGGAGATCAGTTGACATTGTCTTTTCAGGGCCAAGTTTATGTCTTCGACAGTGTCTCGGCTGAGAAGGTGATTTAAGTTGCTGATCAGTCCCTTAATGGTCTGGTTATGATATTCAAGTCTGTTTTTTATTATATGTTACACTGCATCATGTGTTTAACATCTTTGAATGTTTCATATTTTGCCTTCGTTGAACCTAAAGCAAGAAAATGGTCATTCTTTCAACATCAACTGCAGGTCCAAGCTGTGCTTCTATTGTTGGGAGGCCGTGAAGTACCACAGGCAGTTTCTACAGCCCTAGGATCAACAACACCTCAGAACAATAGGGCATTGGTAATAAAACATTTGATATCATTTGAGAAATAAGTTTGATCCTTCTCCGTTGCTGACTAATTAATGATCAGGTTCTATCTGGAACTCCTCAAAGGTTTAGTGTCCCGCAACGGCTAGCCTCTTTAGTGAGATTCCGAGAGAAACGAAAAGGCAGGAACTTCGATAAGAAAATTCGGTACACAGTTCGTAAGGAGGTTGCCTTGAGGTACATTTATTGTTGAAATCCAGGGTTACATTTTTCCTATATTTCTCAATATATGCTCTATTTTTTTTTGGTAACTAGGTTTTTTTTTCACTTGGTCACTTTTCTTTTGAGGTCTGCAGGATGCAACGTAATAAAGGTCAGTTCACATCTGCCAAGTCGAGCAATGATGATTCTGCATCAGCCGGATCAAGCTGGGGGTCAAATCACACCTGGGGCGCAGAAGGGAGTGACTCTCAGACTCAAGAGATTTCGTAAGTTCAAATGTGCTTTAATTTCATCCAAAAGAATCTGGCTTGAGGTGTTATTGATTATTGATCTGAACCAACTTTAAACTTAGTAACAATTGTTTTGTCAAGAGGTTTAGGTAAGTTGTCTCTATGTTGATTCAACATAGAGATATTACTCATTTTATACCTAAACCCACTCAGGGCGTTTATAACAAGCTCGGGCATGTGCTTATTGTTCTTCAAACTTATTAACATAAAGACAAGGAGATATTATCATTGACAATGTAAGGCCAGTGCAGAAAAGGCCTTTGTTGAAGTAACCCACATGAGTGAAGCAAACAAATTGCCAATTGCAAAGCAAAAAGTTGTAAATACGGAAACAATATGTGAACTGTGAGATGTTCCCTTAATAGATAAGAGATCAAAACTATTTATGATGTAGTGATCTTTTCTTTTTTGCGGTACCAAAAACACATCTAGTTAGAGTTGATTCAAAAGCACAGAAAATCATGGAAGTGTTCATAATGTAACTACAAGGCATGAATGCTTGGGATATTACATTGGTATATTGAAGTGAAAGTTACATTTATGGAGAATTGGAAGATAATTGAATCCTTGTAGAATGAGGTGCATTGACCATGATGCTTTCTGATCACTTGAAGCTTGTCTTCTCCGGTCTCCATTGACCTCTTCCTTCCTCTCTTCCCCTCAATACAAAGATGTCTTATTTCTTGGAAGATCATATTAGTTTTAGTATCTGACTGCACATGTTGCATTAAACTTTTGTTTTTTTGGTTTGTTTGTTGCTTATTATTCATGTTTTTACTAATCATATTTCTCGTAACTTGTGTTTGAAATGGTTTTGGAACGGGTAAGGTGTCGACACTGTGGAATCAGTGAGAAGTCTACTCCAATGATGCGACGAGGACCTGAAGGACCAAGAACACTCTGTAATGCATGTGGACTAATGTGGGCAAACAAGGTAAGTAAACTTAGAAATTTTTTAATTGATTCATCTTTCTGCTCGGCTTGAATTTCTTTGTTAATCATGAATTTATATCTGTCTATCTATATGTGCCATTGACCCAGCATGGTAATTTCAGGGGACTCTCAGAGACTTATCCAAAGCCACACCTCCAGCAGCACAAAATATGCTTGTAATTAGGAATGAGGTGAGCAAAATCAGTTTAATGAAAAATGACAGAACCCACCTCGTAATAATAGGTCTGATTAAATCGTTTTAAAAGTTTACTGATAGAACTCACCCCAAAAATTAAATAGCGTGCCCGTAGTCTTATAAAGACTCAACCAATACAGGATCCTAAATTTGGTTCTTGAAATGTGCTATGCGTTTACTTCTCAGGACGAAAATCTCGAGGCCGATCAAATGGTGAGAGTTGCGGGTAACATTAGCAACTCGTCATGACTACAGAAATATGACCAACGATGTATCAGGTGTGGTTTAATTTTCCTGATTATCTTTATGAGGAAATCTAGGTTTAGCTTCGGCTTTATGGGAACGAATTCTGATGATGGAACCTTCGGACTCTTCGGTTTATTATGTTGTATGAGGATGCTCTGCTTAGGCCGTCGTTACAAAAGGTTCACACTCTTGGTTGTAATCTGCAGTCAGTATAGACTTACTTATCTTTCCCTGCGATAACACTTACTTTAGTGCCGTTATGAAATCTGTTCCAACTCCTTTTGCTTATTTTATATTGCCATAAGCATTTGGTGATTTGGCTTTGTTTGATACTTCATGACTTAGCATGTCGGTTTCTCCTTTGTAATGGCTTATGAGTATATTTACTGACCATATGTTGTAACCTCCAATATCTTAATATCTTCGATTCTCTTTTTTTTTTTTTTTTAATTTTTGGGTTGCAAGCATCTATTTTATCTTTATTATTATCTTATAGAAAACTCTACGTTGAAAAATGTGCACTAATACTTTTATATTGAAAAATCTTTTGATAAGTATATTGATTATTTTTTTTTTCAATTCTGTTGTTGATAAACAGCAAGACTTTGAAAACATCGTTTTCTTCCTTCCTCCCAAAAGGGAAAATCACTCAGAGAATCTAAATGGGTCGCAAGTATTTCTCGGATACATCTAAAAAAAACTGCCATAGGAATTCCTTTACAATCGATACACCAATTTTATGGTCAAATTACTAAAATGTTCGCACTAAACTATCTTTATTTCAACAGTTAAAATAAACATATTCTAATTAAAAAAAACAAGGTAAATTAAAACAAATTAAATGCAACTCTTTCTACTAAATCAACCAATTTCTATGTATTTATTACCGACTGAAATTGAAATCAAATGGTATTGTATATTGAAATCAAAACCCATTGATTTTCGACCATTATTTGATATTATTATATGTTTTGGGATTTCATTTTTGAAGAAAAATAGTAGGGAAAATATTAAAATAGAATTGTAGTTAGGGTCCACAGAATCGGATATCCAAGATTCTCGAGATCTCCGTATTTGTATGCGCTCTATACAAATATTCGATTTTGTTATCCATATTTAATCCATAATTTTTGGATATCCGTAATTTCGGATATCCGTAAAAATCACGGATATTTATAAATATCTGTATCCAACCTAAAACTTTATTAAAATTTGAATTAAAATTAAATAATAAACTCAAACGCAAATAAAATACATAATCCATTTAATATAAATGATATTCACAATTTAAAGTTCATAATTTAATACTTCTAATCAATTCAAATATAAATACAATCATAATCTATCGCATACAAAAATATTTATAGTTCAAAATTCAAGATATCAAATATAATAAATCGTAATATTCAAAAGATTAAACATCCTAAACCGTGATATATATATATATATATATAACATTTCTTCAATCTCCCTAAAAAATATGTAAATATTAAACATTCTAAATATTTATACTAAATTATTTTTCTATTTAATAATATTATTAGAAAATATGGATCAGATCATATATATTGGATAATTTGATTTTGATATCTGTATACGATCCGTATCCGACAAATATTTCAAAATAAATATCCGTATCCAATTACTAATTTTCGAATATCCAAATTTTTAGTTCGGATACAAATCGAATAACGGATCGGTTCGATTTTTCGGTTATTATGTCCATCTCTAATTGTAGTGTAGTTTAACTAAATTGACGGTAGTTGTATAGTACTTCAATGGTCGGATTGTGGTAAGAATGGTAAGAAAAACATATTGCAGGGGAACTGGTTTATTCATGAAGTAGAGCTCTCCTTTTATAGGGAGACTTATTGTCTAGAATCCTACATATTACATTGTGAGCAATGTGGGACAAAAAACAAAACATAAAAAAACCATAATCCGTCTTTTACATTAAGAACCCCAATGCTCACCTAACTTTGACTTCTGGGCATGGGAAACCGCATTAGGACGGCCCAAACCCACTGTGGTATCTCGTTCTTGTTTCTCGTTGGATCTCCTCCGTTTTTTCTCATAGGTAAATCGAATCCGAAGTAGGGTGTAAAACGAGCCAAAATATTTTTGAGTTGAGTTCATAATATTTGAGGGCAGGAAAAAATGAGTCGAGTGAGTCAGTTCGTCATGAACGATGTTTATGAGCCCAAAAAATATATTTTTTTTAACTTTTTAAATTTTATATAAAAAAATATATTTTTATTAGATATTTAGTTTGTTTTTTTTAAAATTTTATTTTTTATTATATTTATAATTTTTGAAAATGTTTATAATAATTTTAAATATTTTTAATATTTAAATTATTTTAAAAATATTATATATTTGACTCGCCAACCGATTAGTTTGGCTCGTGAGATAACACATTTGGGTTAGATTGATCTTTGGCTCGATAAAACGGGACGAGGTAGATTGGGTTAAAATATTTCCAGATTAGAACAAGGCGAGCTAGACTAGGTCGAGATAGCCTATTTTACACCCCTAATCGGAGGTCTATCATACTTCTTTCGCCTCTTGAAAATTGTAGATATTCAACACAAGAAAATCTGACGAAATGAATATTTTCTGAGTAACTAAGAATTACCTCTTCATGAGGACCGCCTTAGACCAAACATAAAATTGTTAGAAAAATAGTTACATCGGAAATCGGAATTCAATAGTGACGTATTCCTATACCCACATCGCAAAAAGCCATTATTATTAATTCCTCCTAAAAAGAAAATGTGAGGAAGTTCTGATTTCAGGGGGGGAAAATAACATAAAAAAGATTGCTTTTATATCTGTTCTGCCAACATCTGTAAAGTTCGTTCCTTTCATTTTGTACCTTTTTTCTTTAAAATCATGAGATCTCTTATGTTTTGTCCCCCTGAAAAATAACCTTTTTATCTATATACTATATGCTTGTTGTATGAATATATATATATATATATATATATATATATGCTTGTTTTCAATCCAAAATTGTATGGATCAACTAGTAAGAAGCAAAGCTCATTTTTAATACAGATTCAAATTTCTATCTGAGAAGCGTATTCACATGAATTTCTCCTACCCTTTAGAAATACAATTGTAGCAAAAAGTTAGTAAACTTTTGGATTATCAAAAAAACAAAAAACTTGTCACCTACGGTTTTAGAAATAGAACGATCATTTCTGCAACTGGCCTCTCGCAATGCTTGGAAAGCTCATACCGGTGCCCCAGACATCGATCAGCGTCTACTTAAAGAAACCAATCCGTGAATACAAAGCTTCATCAAGTGTATAAAGATAGTAAAAATCATCTTCCTCATGGTCCAACCAAAACCCGCAAAAGATGAAGCCCTTCCAAGCCAAAACTGTCATTCTTTTGTGACAAAGATTGTTATTTTCTCTATGTAAAGTTGTATCCTTTTGTGTACCTTAGCGTCGTTTTCTTATTCTTTTTTCTCTGGGTGGCGTTTTGTATTGTATGATGAAACTGCAACTGTAAATCTATGCCGGGTTGACGTTATAACTGCTGGGATTTTCAGCTGGTTTTCTCAGATCTGGATCTGTTTGTTGTTCAGACACAACACAACCAACTTTGCTGTTAACTTGTAGAGATACATATGAATTCTAAGTGGAACATCACCAAAATATGAAACACCAAAGAACTATATGCTTCAACTTGCACTTGGAAAACATTTTTAAGAAATTGTACTTTGATGTTTCATTAGTTGAAGTGAAAAAACTCTGAATAACCTCATCATCAGAACTTGAACTTGCAAACATTTGAAGTATTTGTAACTAAAAGGATGCAGAAAGCTATAAGCCAACAAATCTCAATCTGTAACCTCAACATAGTTTTTTTTTCTTTCCTACACGGAGGCCAAGACTAATCACTCCCCTCTCGAAAACGAACTTTATATCGAGAAAACGCCGGTAATTGAATCGCTTACGCTTTGGAGAGAAGGCCCATTTGATTCATTTATGCTTTCAAGACCATCCTGAATTTGCAGTTTTAGCAGAAGCATGAATAAGCCAAGTGATTCTTCTTCCAGATGTAAGGAGAGATGAAATCAGTTGCAAGAGCAGAAGTTCCAGCGATTTCGGCTGGAATGAGGACTTGATTCTTGTTTAAAGCTATTCTTTTTCCAACCGTGTTGGCGTAAAACAGACCCGATATTGCTGGGACAAACACATCACTTCTCGAGCTTATGTAGAAATCGATAACTTTTTCATACTCTGAATTCGCTGATTCCAAGTACTTTGATTTCTTATCTCCTGGTATTATCGATTCCTGCAATGTTTTCATGAAAATATCAATACCGGTAAGAAATATTCGAAGGCTGATAAGAACAGATGCAATAAAGGACGGGAATTTACGCACCTTTGTATATGTTTTCGGGAAGATATCCTTGAGGATATTGAGACTACTGTTCCATCTTGGCTGGGTGAGATAGATCGTAGTGTCAGTATTGAACCCGATTTTCCTCAAGAACACAGCTATCTCTTGTGAGTCATAACAGGTTTTGGACTTTGCAATGGAGGTTTCATGGCAGTTTTTCTTTTCAAGAATCTCGAGCCTTAGGTCTACGGCTATGAACCGGCCACCCGATTTCCGGCTCAGTGTTTTCAGCCTCTCCACCATTGATTCCACCACTTTGTTCACTTCGGGCTGCAACTCCAATGATCCAAACATTGCCAAACATGCCACGGGATCGGTTTCACCGTCCTGTGAAGATTTTCTCAAATTTACAGAAGGGAAATAGGTTGCAACTCTTATGTTTCCCTTTGATCTGAAGATGGGTTCGATGCTTTCCTTGATGTAATCTTTGGATACCCGGGTAGGAACCTTCACAATGGCCATATTCCTGAGAGATATCTCTTCGGGCAATTGCTTTACGACTTTGACAACACCTTCCAGGTTTCTAATGAACTTGTCAGCGTCATATATATCTTCGAAGTTCCTGGTGAAACACTGATTCATTTAGAGAAATCTCCTGAAAAAACTGGCGAAGTATAAAATGTCATGAACATAGACCCCGAACCTTTCGTCTCCGGGTTTGCTTCCTCTAATGTCCGGAAGTACAAGAGTTGCCCCAATATGCTTTGCCACCATTACAACATCAGTAATCTGCAACAAGACAACACAATAAACAGCAGAGGAAAGAGGAGAACATGTCCAAAGGAGTTGATCTTGAGAAAGATGATCGAAACCACAAGAAAACAAAGCCTCCTGCTTCACAGATTGGAAGCATTGTACAAGTTCAAGCTTAAATGACACACCGACATTAAAAAAAGAAAAGACGAAGCTTTCAGATTATCACAAAGGATATATACGTGTATATATATACCTGAGAAACATGGTATTCGGGGCCATTTGTGAGCGAGAATGTAACATACCCTTTCGACGATGACACATCATCTGCAACATTATGTCCATGAATAGATAATCGAGAAACGTTTAAGCTTAAGAATGAGTGAATTACAGAATCAAGCAAGAACAGTAAGTGAATTAGCAGAAATAACCGAAGACAATACCAGATGTAGATGATGCTGTCCAACAAGGCTTAAGTTCATGGATGTTCTCTATCCAAGGCCCTTTGCCTCCCCCAATGGAGCGCACAAGGCCGTCTTTTACGGAAACCTTGGATCCCCCGAATTCGATACCGTGTTCTTCTCCTGAGAATTTCTCCTGAGAAAGGATCCAAATTTACAGTAAAACAACGACCCATCAGTTGCTGGATTATTTTCTCTTCTTCCCTTCTGAGAAATGGGGAAAACTTGAATTTCTCAAACACCAATTCGGACAACACGAGCCGGGTTCAACTATACTCTCTTGACTCGAGGAGCCATTGGGTCCAAGTTGGGTTTCTGATTTATCAAACCAATTCATATTTCATCAGAAAATACAGGTTTTTGTAGCGTGAAAATGGGACAAAGGTCGCAACTTTGAGGCTGCTATGAGATAGATCTGCTTCTCAGAGATCAAAGAGAGATCCAAACACAAAACCCAAGTGGTAGAAGCTAAGAACGATGAAGAAAATCGAATCAGAGTCCATTCCATAGTTCAGTCTCAAACAAGAACAGAAAAAAAAAACGCTTCTTCAATAAAAAAAAGGAGCAGAAGCATTTCAAACAAAGAAAAGGCGGACAAAAACAAAGGACATGTCGGTGTCACCTGATCGGAATCAAAGTAATCTCTATGAAGCATCTTTCCGAGCATCACAAACATGGTAATGGTAAGAATTCCAGCAACCACTTGCCTCAAATCCACACCCATTTCCACTCTTCTCCTCTCTCTCTCTCTCTCTCTCTCTCTCTCTCGCGCGCTCGGAGCAGAAGTGGGCTTCTGAGGATTTTTTTTTACTGAAATTGAGGATTCTGAAGTGATTATATAGTAAAACTCATAGGGGGGCTTTCTATGTAAATTACCAGAGAGAGAGAGGGAGAGAGAGAGAGTCCAACCAATGGGGTGCGAGGTAATTGTGGGGGCAGACAGAATAGTTAAGTTTTTTTTTTCTTTTTTTGGCACTGAGACAAGCTTGCTTTACCTACAGAGACCGCTCCGTTTTATTTTTATTTTATTTTTTGTCAAAAGGCCTTTTTTTTTTTTTTGGTTAAGCGTCAATGCTCGCAAGTCTGCCGCAATCTCGGCTTACTTACCCACCGACACTTTTGCCGTGAATATCGGTATCCTTAACCGGTCTGGTTAAGCAAACCAGGTTGAATTTGAATTATACCGGACTAGAACACCGAAAAAGGAATATTTTTTCCAAATTAGAATTTCACGGGTAATTCTGAAATTTTTTAAAAATAATTCCTCTTATATTTGGGTTTTAAAACTGCGTATTTGTATGAATTCTCTGTCAATTATTACGTTTGTTTATATGTATAATTATCATTACCTAAGGATTTTACCTTTAGGCCAACGGCAGAAATGGGAGTACGTTTCTTCATTATCTTGCTTCGAAATAGAATACTGAGTTCGTGATTTCCTGCAAAATTCACAAATGCAAACTCATGTAACCATTTTAGTATCGAATAAATCAATTTATGGAAATTATATGTGTATATGTATTTCAACATCAGTATTTTCTTTGTTGTCGTTCAAATAAGGGGAGCTCTATAATTGCTAATATCGCATTTTATTTTCATAACCTAGTAAAGTACAAGATAAATGTTACCATAAAATGAATAATATTTTTGAATAAATGCAATATTTCCAATTTGGCATTTTGTATATTTGCTTGTCATTGGTAAGTATTATTATATATGCCATGTTATATTTATTTATTGTTTTACTCTCAATATATAAAAGTAAATAAATCCATATATATGTTCCACCGCTAATGTATTATGAAAACTACCTTTTATACGCATTTTAATTATTTAGGCACAATTAATTACTATAACACATAACATTTCGAACTTAATAGAGTAACTATTAATTTTACAGACTAAGTAATTATGATTTTAAAATTTCCAAAAATGATTTGATTGTTTCTTTCAATTTTCTTTTGAAAAATATTTTTGGATCTACTTTAATTTACGTGTAAATCCTATATATTAATTATTTCTTATTATTTTATGTAAAAAAATGTTTTGTAATCTGTGATGTTATTTCATTAATATCATGTGATTTTTTTTCATCAAGGTCGTGATCTGGATTCGATATGTTTATAAAAAAATTAGGATATATTCCGTATTAAATCTATTCAAATTAAACCAATTAACGTAATATGACGATTTTGATTATTCTTCAATCGCTAATTTTGAGCTACCTAAAATCAGAAGAAAAAAAATATCATTCCGAAACTCAAAGTATTTTAGATAAAATAATCAATTTACAAAGAGTTGTTAAAGGCTTATGCTTGCTTTATATATATATATAATATGTGATTTTTTTTTTATTATAATCGGTCTAATGGAATTTGAACTTTGGTGGTTAAAAACATTTTCTGTTATCTTTACCATTAGACCACACATTGTCACATTCATTTTTATATATAAAAAAAAATTATATATAAAATTTATAATAGATAAAAAAGAGAACTTACTAAACAAAATACTGTTTATTGATTGATTCGATTTCCGTTCAACCGATACGGAAAGCTATAAGGGAAAAATTAGGATCTAATTTTTGTTGTGTAAGATACACCAAAATAGAAAGAATCGAAGAAAAAAGTACAAAAACATTTTTTCATTCAAGTGACTGCAATAGTAAATAAAAACAGAAACAATAAACAAATTATTACAATATTAAGTAAATAAAGTGAAATCAAATCGAATCGGATCATTAAAAGTCCAGATTAAACCGGCCCTATATCAGATTAGATATCAAAATTTTTCTAATAGATAGGCTACTATCATCAAGGGTCATGTTTGTTTTCTTTTATATATATATATATATATTTAGTATACAGTGGGGCACGTGCCCCATACAATTAATTAAAAATAATAATTTCTTCATAAATTTTATAAAAATTATAAATAATGTTGATAAATACTCCCAATAAAATTATGTTTATCTATATTAAATTATACATATATTAATATTGCCCCACATGTGAATCATGACTCTCAATCATGCATTTGTTTTTCTTGTTTTGTAAGTTTTATTATTATTATTATTATCATGGGACCAATGTCAAAAACAAACACATGGACTGTTTCATTCGTAGTGTAATCATTTCCACCTAATAATTCCATTTTGAAGATTTAAAAAAAATCTAGAATATCAATAAATATAAATAAAACTATAAAATTTGTGCAAATATATATATATATATATATATATATATATATATATTATATCGATTCGTTTTACACTATGGTGGAACTTCATCTTTCTATTTTTCGATCCAAATTCGAATTTTCATTTGAAGAGAATATTCATCTAAATTTCTATATTTCTATGAAAAAACTAGTATTAATATCATATTTGTTCTAAATTGATTTTATCTATAGTCAAATCTGAAATATCCGAAATGATCGGTTTGTTACAATCGGAGAAGTTTGAAATTTACCGATAAGAAGTCGGCATTTTGGTTTAGACTAGAAATGTGAACCAAATTGAATCCGGTATAGGTTATAAGATGTGTCATTTCGGTTAGGTTATATAACAAAAACCCAACGGTTAGTCGGTTACTATATTTCTAAAAATGAAAAATACTGAATGTGAAACGAGTATAGAAACAATAGAAATTCATTTTTTTAGAATATTAATATTTTTATCACTAAAAATCGATACAAATCGAACTTGAATCTAATATAAAAAATGTTTAATATACATATTTTTAAAACTGAAAATAAACAAATCTAATCCGAAACTCCAAAATATTCATTCCTAATCTGTCCGGTTTATATCAAATTGGTTGAAATCGAAACTGAACCGAAATATAATTTTATTTTTTCGGTTTGAATCGAACCGGTTACATAGCTGCTAATGTAATGTGAGTGTTTTTCTTGCAAATCTCGGAGCCCATCACTTTACGAACAAACCCAGAATACCTTAAACTAGTTCCTCTCTTGTTCTGGAACATGTTCTTCAGCTTTGTCTCCAATTCCGTTGACGTGTACCTCACGCAAAGGCCCTCCTCTTCAACCAGAATCATCATCTTCGGATCCTGCAAGCAATTCTTGTAAATTGGCATTAGGGTTTTCATCGCAGCCTCACATATCTTCAATCTCAAGCCTTCATCCTCGATAATCCAATCCGATTGCTTCGTGTAAATCTCGTCAAACTCTTCGGAGAACGCTTTTAACGCTCTCTTGATCGATTCCCGAGCACGTTTGGACGCTGAGAAAGCTCGAGTTTCGTATTTCAGAGGATTTATAAGCTTTCCCCAAGTTTCGTTCACGTATAAAGCAGCGTAATAATCTCGGTATTGTCCATGAGCTCTCACCCAGGATTCACCCATCGTTTTCCCGAGAAAAGTCCCTTCCAGACTGCAGAAATGGCAGTGATTGTTCATCATGAAGATGTACGAAAGCTCTGCATCTTTGTAGGATCTTGCCCACGTATCCAGATTCAACGAAATCTCTCTCATTACATTGTAGATGTGACCAGTGAGAAGATCTTCGTTGAAATTTTCGTGTTTCCAGCTAAAATCTATCTCGAGAATCTTCTTCAAGATCGGCTTATAGCAATCCCCGAACAGTTCATTGCAATACTCGGTGACAAAGCTCACAAGCCTTGGAACACTACCATCATGAGGAGGAGAACTCTGCCTCTGTAACTCAACCTGATATGGTAACTCCCAGAATATTTCGACGGCCCGACCCACGATTCCGCGGATGAATTCCCGTGTGGTCTCGCGGACTTCAGAGCAGTTTTGGCCTCCGAAAAGACGGTTGAAATCGACTCTTACCTTATCCATTGTGCAGAAAACGTCTAAGAGTTTCAGAAGCTTCGAAGGGTGTTTCTTGCATTCTGTTATTCTCATTCCGAATCCAAGGAGGCGAAGGATTCCCGAATCCGAAGCTATTTGCCCGAACGATCTCGAGGAAACGTCGTCGCCAGCTTTTTCAAAGACTTGATTGCAGAGCCTGAGCTCGAAATCGTACACATCTTTCACCGCGATATCCATATCCCGCTTCCATTTATCGATATAATCCTCGATGTCTTCGACGTTATCGAATTCTGTGATCGTTTTCTCGAGATAGTCTGTCCTGAGAGCTTCGAACCGTCCCTGAACGGACTTTTTTCGGGATTCAACATAAACGGATACACAGCGCGTTAACCGTTTGTTAGAGCTTAATGTATTGATCAAAGCCTGCAACGTTCTCAGGTTATTCACATCCAAAACCTGGAATCGAAATGCGTTTTCGTCTTTGAGAATCCGTTCGAACTCCATCTCGAGATTCTCGAATGACATGGCAAGAATCCCTCTGCTGCAACGAGCATTAGCTTCGATCCTCTGCAACTTTCGTAAACGTTTTATCGGTTTCCTGAACTGCAGAAGACAGGGATGATCTTCAGGCATTCCATTTTCGATAAGAAACTCGATAGTCTCTTCGAGCCAGTTGACTGCAAGAAGGCAGCTTTCAGAGAGGAATCTCATCGATTCTCCGAGATATTTAACATCCGAAATGTAACTCAGGAGGCGAGAGCGATGATCAGACGACGAGAGGGATTTCTCGAGCTCGCGAACTGTAACGAGGACCCGGAGAACAGCGGAAATGGGTGTGGTAACATGAGAGATACTGTCTGAAAAAGACGAGAATCGCCATTTCTGTCGTTTAGCTTCGGATTCGAAGCATCCCAGCTCGTGATTTATCTGCTTCAATCTTGAATCTGTTCTGTTCAATGCAGAGGAAAACGCTTCGGATTTCTCGATCTCACCCTTCAACAGTTCCCTCATGGATTTAAGCTCTTCGATGCTCTTTTCTTGGGCCATTCCTAGGATCGAAAAGGAAGAGGCAAATCGATTTGACAAGATGGGTTTCTTGAGCAGCACGCAACGTGTTGGAAGCTAAGGTTCTTTTGTTGTTTCCTCACCAGAACACCATATATGACCAAACAAGCTTAAACTGAAGAAGAGTGTTGCAAAGACAAATCTTTAAAGATAACGTATTGTTCCATTAGAAGTTGTTCCTGCAATTCCGAGAACCGTTCAACCATCTCTATCTGATTCTACTTAATCGATAAGTCAAAGCAACTGTCTTTTCTTTTGCCCACCAGACCTTAAAAAAAAAGTTTTTTTTTTACTATACAATGGAAACATGACAAATTCATCTCTTAGTTTCGGTTTGGAATTGGTAGATGAAAAGTTGGATGGGAAATTAAACCGGTAGTTTTTTTTTTAGCATTGGGCAGGGGGAATTTTTGAATTCCTTGTTTTTTTAATTAATATTTTAAAACTTATCCTATATCTATGAATTTATACTCAAGGTTTGCATATTTGACTTCAAATTTCGTACAGGAGATACTTTTATGGTTAAAAAAAATCACAGATAATTTATTAATTTTAAAAATAATAATATATAATTTTATAATTTATATTAAAATGGGTTAATTAATCTCACAAGTATTCCCAAACTTGTTCAGATATGAAAAAACTAATTCTCCACTCCAACTCCCATACTCCCATAATAAATATCCAACTTGATAAATTTGACGGAACTTGTCAAAAATTTATTGACTAACGTTGACCAGAAATGCGTTAATAGAAGATGACGTGGCGATACATAAGTGGATGTGTCACACATTTTGCCACGTCAGTAAAAAATATGTAAAAATTAATTTTGACCGATTTAACCGGTTATTTTGTGTCGAGGACTCAAGAGTATATTGTGAAGAACCAGTAGTTTTGGGTAAAACAAAGAATAGAGATATCAAATGAGTTAGGTCAAATGGGTTAACCTAATATAAGTATAAATCTTAATTAAATAATCGTATAATTAGATTAATATATTTATAATCAAATTTTTTTAAATCAGTAACCGAATTCGATATAACATCGAGAATTTTAGTAAAAAAATTGAATTTGAACTGAAACGACTCGAATTCAAATCAAAACTGATCGATCCAAATAGAAACGAATCGAACATGAATTGGAATGAATCGACTGAAATAAAAAATGGACCGTAACGAATCGACTCGAATCAAAACGAATGCGATCCAAATCGAATCCGAAACCAAAATGAATCATAATAGAAATTGATTTTTTTTAATAAAAATCAAATATGTATATGTATTTATAAAGGTTATTTGGATTTTATGGATTAACCCAATCTATAGATTTTTATTTGGTTTGTATTTAACCCAAATCATTGGGTCAAAATGGGTTGCAAACTTGCAATACAAACCTCAAATTGATACCAAACAAGCTGATGGAGAAGAAGAAATGAAGGTTAGGGTTTCCAAGTGTCGGGATAAAGGGAAATAGGGGGAAAATAATTTTTTTTATTGAATCGATTGACCGGTCTGGTATAACCGGTTGAATCAATCGAAATTAATTTTCATATTTTTGTTGACGTGGCAAAATGTTTGACACATCTGCTCACATGCACCGGCACGTCGGCTTCTTTTGACGATGTTTCCGACCAATGATCAATAATTTTTTTGGCAACATTTGACAAGTTCCGATATTTTTATGTCAAATTTATCAAGTTGGGTATTTATTATGGAGTATACAAGTTAGGGAATTAGTTTGGGAATGTTTATAGGATTAACTATAATAAAATATAAAGTATATATTTATAATTGTATGTAAAATCATGAATGAATAATTTCGGTCTAAGAATCCAAATTCAAATCCGTAGAGGATGAATATCATATAATTATATACGAACGAAATCCAATATAATAACTGAATATGCGTATATAACTGAAAACTCGGATCCAAACCATAAAACATTTTTTTTGAAAAAATAGTTATTTTCTATCAATATGTACTAAGTTCAAATAAAAATTGTATCCAAAATAAAATGAAATAGCATAATTTTTTAAATCGAAAAACCGAACCTAAAAATAATTTAAGCAAAGTTGAACACAAAAATGTGTAAGCTAAAAAGAGAATGTGTATCGGTGTGTGTGTATATACAGCCAAGGATGACATTAGGCCCATCATTCTGTTATTTGGGCCGGGCCTGGATTTAAGATTTGCCCGATCTCTCGACGTGTTTGGGTATATTAGGTTAGAAGACTATTCGACGCCTTGTTCTCTCTCAAGCTCGCATTTTCCCAGAAATCTTCAGAATTCTCATCTCGCTAACCGAATTGGAGATCGGAGATGGCGTCGAGTGCGGCGGTTCCGTTCTGGAGAGCAGCAGGGATGACGTACGTTACATACTCCAACATCTGCGCGAATCTCGTCAGGAATTGCCTCAAGGATCCCTACAAGGCCGAAGCCCTCAATCGCGAGAAGGTTCATTTCGCCATTGCCAAATGGGCTGATGGGAAATCCCAGAAACCTAGTACGTTCGACCCCTCTCCTACATCTGTTTTTCTTTTTTGCGATCCGTATATGTTTGGATCTTCTTAGATCTGGGTTTTGCCATTTTCGGTTGAGGGTTTGCCAATTTCCGTTCGTTCTCCTGAACCGATGTTGTTTGAATCCGATTCTCTGGCCTTTAGGGCTGTGGAACGGGAGATATCTTTTTTGGATAAGCTGAGGGTAAATTGTCTACTTTAATAGATGGGGATATTCTGAACTGAGACCAAGTATTTAGCTTGAAATGCTTTACAAAACATTAGTGGGAAACGAAAGAAATCCGCACGGAATCCTCAGAACGAAGAAATGAGACTTGGGTTGTGGTCAGTACAAGTGTTAGAAGTTATGTCGAAAATAGGTGTATTTGCTCTCTATCTATTGCCATGTCCGTTCTCGTCTTGTAGCTTTCATGCTTGTTCCATTGCTTTCATGTTGGCTTGTTGGGCATTTACTGTTTTGCCATACTTGTAGAATAATAAAATTGGTCTCTTCACTGCTTCGATTATTCTCTTGAAATGCACGACCATTTTAGAGGGTTGCGGAACGTTCTTCTTAGTAGCATCTAATATGGAACCGTCCTGCTTTGTCGATTCTTATGTGCGAGTTATGCATTGAAAAGGTTGGATCATTTGTGTTTTTGTTGAGAATTCTCTCATCAATACCGAAAATATGAAGATGGTTCTCTGTCATCTTCATGATCTGCCTTAGTCTAGTTGGTTGAAATTGCTCCGTTTATGCAGTTTACTTCAGTTTTGTTAACCCAGTTTTCTTTCATCTTTCTTGTGTCTTGCCAGCCATCCGCTCGAGCGCCGACGAGAAATCAGACTGACATTGAAATCTGAGGTCTGAAGTATTATTGCTTTATGGGCAGTTGAGAGATGCAAGAACATGTTGGCATAAGGATCTTTCTTGTTTTTTTTAACCAGCAAACATGCTTTGATGTCATCATCTTAATAAAGGACTTGTAGCCCTCTGTCTTGCTTGAGACAACAATCTTATTTGTGCAGACTGATAACTTTGTCTTGGCTTCCATTGTCATATCATGCTTCTGTTTCACTTTGCACAAACCCTGCATTACTTGTTGCCTGTTAGTTTCCCCCTTTACTATGCGACTGCACCTTTTCTTTCAGAGCCATTGTGTAATGAGGTTATGCTTCTAACTTAAAAGGTTTCCTTTTTAAAAATTTCTTGAAAGGAGGATTAAAAGGCATAACCTTTTCAAACAGCTTCAACACAATTCAATAGTGAATCCCTTTCGACATACAATTTCATCACCCAATTTCTAATCTTGGCAACTGGAGATTTTGTCATACCAATGTACAGTACAAGAGTTTTTTAATAACAGTAACAGCAATGTGAAGGAAAGCAGAGTCCTAGTCTGTCTTCAGGCTATCATCTGTATTACACAGGACAGAGTATGAACAAGAATACAGAAACCAAGTACCTTCAAAGATCAACACACTGAAACTAACACTCAAAAAATGTCAGTTAGACAAGGGAAAAAAAAAATCAGCAGCCTCAACTGTAAGAGCTTCTGTTGTCCCTGAAAAAGAAGACTGACCTGATAACCTTACCAGAGTTAGCTATGGCTTTCTTCACATCAATCCCTGCATTAGGACAACATCGGGACATGTCTCTTGTTTTTCGCTGAACTACATCCTATTATGCCGTGGAATGCTAACCTCTAAAGATCCATCAGTTGTCTACATTGACCATTTCCATATCAGCCTAAGCCAAAACATGTAATTATGGAAATGGGTATGCTGAAAAATGATGACCCGAAATTGATACACCACGTTCCAGAAAGCCCACATGTTAATGTTATGTAGTGATATTGCCTAGATATAATAACTTACACAAGGAATCTTGTCGGGATTATGCAAACCCAGGGTGCCCCCATCAATACCATTGTCAGAATGAGCAAATGAATCCCAAGGAAACCAAGAGGAAATGCATTGAAAAACCCGAAAGAGAAGACAAGAAGAGCTACTAGATAGTTAAACAGACATCATAAACTACACTGGGAATGCATGTGCAACAAAAGCTAATAGAAACACACTCACACATGTTATGTTGATGGGATCACTATATGCATCCATCACATGATGAGAAGCAAATGCTGATGTGAATGTTGGCAATGAGATGGATGCATGTGGCCCCCCTGCATGATGCATCCTATTGTGCAGTTGCTGGAAGATCAAAGAAGAGAATACATCCCCTTCAGGTTACTGCTAAGACAAGGCCGGGGAAGCTCCATTAGTGCTTGGTGATGGAGGAACCGGATGGCTGCCTTCCTTCCTCTTCCCAAATGGATTCTTTGAATATGTATGACCGAGTTCAGGAACACATACCAAAATGGAAAAACAAAGTCGAAAAGCAAACTGCAGAGGAGGGTGAAAAAGAAAAAAGCAAAGCGCAGCAAAGATGAATACAGACAGCGTCAAGATGACACCTAAAAACTTAGCCAATCATGTTTAGACAATTTCTCTAAGAAACTCTATAATGTAGCAAAACAGATTATTTAAGGCACATTAATTTATAACATTTAAAACAATAGTCTTTTCACTGGAGGAGCCAGGAAGCCCTATGCTAAGAAAGAGGATAGGTGTATGTTATATAAACCAGAAATACTTTTGAAATTGTTTACTAAAAGCTAAAGTTGTTACACAGTTCGACCTTCTACACCACAATCCTAAATTTAAACCTCATTTCAATCAACCCAGCTAAAGAAGCCTAAGTACCAATCGCCAAATGAACCGCATATAGTTGAATACAACAGAGACTATGCAAAAACACATGAATCAAAGAATAACAAAAAAATAATAAATGGTTCGAGGATATTGAATCCGCATGCCAACTGAACCAGAACTTGGAATAACAGCACCTTGCAAATTATGGTGAACATTTGTAGCACTATTGACATCCTGCAAATTAATAGAGAGATATATAACAATATGCTACAAAAACATTGTTTGGCGTATACACAGAATACAGATGGATAGAAGTAGAACCAACCTCGAATTCAATAAAACAAACTGTATGCCTTTCCTGTCTCAGTACTTTCATTTGTTTGTAACCAGGTTGCCTGAATGATGACAGTTTGAATGATGACAGGGGGTTTTTGCCGGCACATAAATACCCAAAAGCTAAGATCTCAAAGAAAGGAAAAGATCCTTACGCACTGAACAGGCTCCTCAATTCTTCCTCATTTATATTCTCACCAAGATTACCAATAAACAGGGTATTGCAAGGAGGGTTATCTTTAATATTCTGCATTCCGGATAGAAAATAGTATAAAACAGATAAGATCAAACAGTGATGAAGCTAAGATGCAAAAATCTTTACAGTGGTACTGAACCACAGCTGATAAAAGCTTAAAAGAGTAATTTCAAAGCTATATATAATATATTAAAATGTAACAACTCTTCTTCCATGTTATACCCTTAAGAACACATACCTCTCAAAAATATAGTAAGTGCAATTATAAATATGAACTCCAGAGTTCATAAGAAATGATCATGTAATTGAATACAATCATATAAAGTTGTATATAGAATTACAACATGGCTTCCACATAGATACTGCAAACCCGACAAGAAAAATGAGAACAATCATAGGGGCAATGTCACCTGGACAGGCACATATGAACTAGGAGCTGTTATAGGAGTTGGTGCATGCATTGGTACAGGAGGAACATGATACCCTGCATAGGGGTCATATGGTGGAGGTGGAGGGGCAGGAGCTATATACCTGAATCAAAATTTCGGTATCGGTGTGAAGGCGAAAGGAAATACTGCGGTGTAAATATAAGTGTGTAGTGTTTCCAATTTCTAAGTCCACCGGTACAGATTATGCAATGTCTGAAAATACTGATCAGCAGGACACAGATGCATACCCATGAGGCAGTCCCCATACTGGAGGAGGTGGATGGTGGTGGTAGGGAGACGAACTATAACCAGAGTGAGTGTAGTCACCACCGGTTCGTAGGCGCTTACTCTGATCATAAGCATTTGAATCCACTACGATTCCTAAAAAAGATAGTAAACAGACCTCAACAGGATGTTATTTGTGACAATACCAAAAGCAAAGTGAGTCTAGAGGAAATAAAGCACTACTGTGAATTTCGTATATAAATGCACAAAACTTTACCAAACAAGCATCTAAAACATGACTACATTTAAAGATGACAAAATTGAGGTTAAAGAAAAAGATATAATCGGCTCTGCCATAAACTGACAACTAACTAACTAACCTCTCTTAACAAACAGATTTTTCTTGGCCATTTCGGTATGTAACACAGAATTTGAATCCGTATCAAACACCAGATCCTACATCAAAAGAAACGGAAATCCATGTCATAAATCTGACAATAAGGAAAAGAGTCAGCAACGATCTGATTCATCTGAAGCAGACAGACCTGAAGTGTATCCCTGGCCGCAACTGCAAGTGGTCCTGTGGAAAACAGAGCAAAACCCATGGGCTTTTCTCCCTTAAAGTTCACCTGAGAAGCTTCATAACCCGGTAACCATCTTAAAAGATTCAGAAGCTCTCTCTCTTTTACATCATCAGGAAGCCCTGCTATGAAGATTGTCCGAAGCTGGAAAAAGAAAAACCATCTTAACATATAATATAGTGTTTCCATAACGACAGTAGAACATACATGCCCCAAGCAGCGGACCAAGAACAATGCCACGCAAGCATACCATGAATTTACAATTACTAATATATACAGCAATGCAGATTCTTTGACTCCAAAATGTTTTCAAGGTAATTTATTCCAAAGGGTTGAAAAAGAACCGTGTTCTTACCCAAATGGGCTGGTCTAGTGGTTGGGTGGCACAAAGTGCTCCCAACCCGGGTTCAAACCCTATCGGACCAAATCTTATTAAAAAAAAGAACCGTGTTCTTTCAAAATTGTGTACTAGTTGTATGTGCATGTAGTTACACATAAATAGAAAATGTGAACGAATATGTAGAGATTACTACCAAAACAAAACAAGATTTGCTCATGTGACAGATCATATGCTTATAGTGACATCCAACCGAGGGATTCTGAAAGTCTTGTAAACCATAAAATCTAGTGAATCAGTGATGTAAAATGAAATCTCAAATTGTGAATTTTCGGGGGTTTATAACATTTTCCATCCTAAAGGGTCCTAAGACATATTATTCAATTCTGAAGTTAAATCGTTGTCCTGCGAACTGAGACCAAGAAATTAACCAGAGAGAGAGACTTATAACCTCGTCATATGACTCATATGGAGGACAATTATGGCTGTCAAGTAGACCGGGAGGCGGAGGATGATGATGTACCGGCGGCGGAGCGGCGATGGAGGCAGGTGGGGGAGGCATCGGCGCCGCTGCCGGCGGCCACTGCTGATGGTACGGGTGGATTCCGGCGCCGGCCATGGGGAACCCTAGATAGATAGAGGGGAGACTTGCTTTTTGTTCGAATCAAGCTTCACAGTCTTCTTCCTCGGAAGGAACGATGACAGATCTATTTTAGTCACGTGTGTTCGCACGTGCGAATGATGTCAAAAAAGTCTGCTGACCCCCCCCCCCCCCCCCCGGCCACTGCTGATGGTACGGGTGGATTCCGGCGCCGGCCATGGGGAACCCTAGATAGATAGAGGGGAGACTTGCTTTTTGTTCGAATCAAGCTTCACAGTCTTCTTCCTCGGAAGGAACGATGACAGATCTATTTTAGTCACGTGTGTTCGCACGTGCGAATGATGTCAAAAAAGTCTGCTGACCTGGTAATTTTTATATTAATAATAATAACAATTTTTAACCGATTTTTAGAAGAATAAAAATTTCCCCCACCCTGGGAATGTAACATTTTTTTTTAATATTGGGAATTTCCGTGACTACCTATCCTTACAAACGGAGACGAACTGTCTACCACCTATGCCTAACAGTACTCCACCAGACCTGGCCACCAGACGCACCTAACGCTCGGGCCGTAGTTGGGCTTAGGTACCTGCGGGTCAAATCCCAAGCCCACGCGCACGAACCTGCGACACATGCGTAGAAGGTAAATCAACCCATTATGATAGGCTGATAGGGTGAGAGAAAGGGAGGCAGAAGGATTCGAAGATCCAACCTCATAGAGTTATCCCTATGCTCCCAACCGTCTGACCTGACTCCGAAGGGCGGGAATGTAACATTTCTTTTCTAGACTCTGTTCAATATATTTATTAAAAACTTACGGTCAATAATTATCCATAAATTATATTATGTATAACTATATGGACACTAATGAATGATCACTGTCAAATGTATTTACATTTATACATCTAATGAAAACAAGAAAAAAACCAAACAACAACAAAAATAAGTTATTCGTGGAAACATATACATGTATATTAGTATATATAACTATTTAAATTTTATGTTACATATATATAGCATATAAAAAACAAATGTATTTATTATTTTGCATAGTTTTTTACAACTGATTGTACATTCGTAACTAAAATTACAAGTATTTTTATAAATTTTTTTATATTTTAATTGAATTTGTGGATGGTTTAAGTTTAAATGGAAATTTTTAATAATTAAGGTTTTTAATAATTTTTTTAAAGATGAATGATTTATTTAGATGATTTATTTGGAATCTTATGAAAAGTTTTAAATGATTTTTTTTTTGTAAATAAAACTTTTCACGATCTAAAAGCTACATAGTAAGAATGATAAATATGCATCAATTCGAACCGATAACGAATACTCCATGAAGAAACGTATAAAAAATGGGGACAACTTCCAAATTACCCTCAATATGCTACAAGGACTTCTAATACTACCTTCCACTTGAAAAAAAAAATTCCAACTTCTAATTTACCCCTTTCATTCACAAATTACACAAATACCCTTTAGAGTAAATAAAAAAATAAAAAAAAACTCCGACATGGGTATATGGGTCACAATGATCACAATGTGCACAACACTTATATGGGTGATTATAGAAACATGACACAATGGTCACAATGTGCATCATACAAATAGATTAGGGGGTTATATGGTGAAGTGGTCACGCAGTCTCACTATTACATGGTCACTTGGTCACATGGTTCATGTCATTAGGAAAACCAGTCACATGGGTGACAATAGGAACAGAGTCACAATAGTCACAAGGTCATACGGTCACAAGGTCACAAGGTCACAAGATCACAAGGTCACAAGATCACATGGTCACATATTTCAGAATGGTCAGATTGGTAATAATGGTCACAAAGTCACATAGTCACATGATCACATGATCACATGATCACAATGTTGAGAATGGTCGAATTGATCTTCATTTTGTAACTCTGTTTTTCAGTGGTATAATGGAAGGGCGAGACGAAAGGTCAACAATTATATATTTTCTATATGGCGGTGCTTGGATACAGAATAAGAATGGGGAATATGAATGGGAAGGAAGGGTTATGGAAAACCAAAGATTGTTATTCTTTTGTCCCCCCTTGGAGATGACCTACAGTGAACTTGTTAGAGAGTTATGTTCGGAGATGAAGGTAGATAAAGATAAAGTAGAGATCAAGCTGAGCTATTTACCAAATATAAAAGAAAACAGAAAGCCCACCTACCTATGGAATGACAAGCATGTTCATATTTATCTACGGGATAAAATAAATAGAATGCGAGGCATGCTTTATGTGGAGATAGATGAGGTACGGGTGAAAGGTGAATGTGAACAAAATGATGAAGAACAACCTATAATTCCTACTGGTGAAAGTGGTGTTGGAGGTAGTAGGAAGCGAGATCAGATAGATTATGATGATTGTGTTATGTTGAGCCCTAATTTTAAGAGTAAAGTTGAGAGTAATAATGTGGCAGATGTTATACATCTTTCTGACAGTGAACATTCTAGTGGTCTTAGGGATGTTATAGTGACTGAATGTGATGGGGATCGTGCTGATGGTGGTGATGATTTGGCCATTGAGATAGTAGCAGACTCTCGGTATTCGAATTCTGTATTCAGTTTCAGTGATGGTTTAAATATCACAATTGTCCATGAGTTTGACAATAAGGAAGCAACACAATAATTTATTCGCAAGGGTGCAGCTATGGGTCGTTTTCGTTACAGTACACCGAAGCCCGATAAAAAGTTGTGGGAAATGATACGTGTGTATCGAGTCTAAAATCTATTACCCGATTCACAACTCACCGCAAGGATACGGATCGTCGTAACACGGGGTCGAACACGAGGACCGGTTGCTAAATCTAAATCCTAATCGAAACTAAATCGAAGCAAGCAAGTAGAAGTGATGGTGGAATTATGTAGAAAGAATAGAAAATAAGGAAACAAAGCAATAAAAATGTGTAGACTAGCAATCTAAGATGACCGTGGGTGTCGGGACCGTATTCGCGTGTATGGGTATATGCTAAGCATGCGAGAATCACGATATTGAATCTGTATTCGGGAATCGTCAAGCAACAAAAATAGAGAAATCACCTCCCGGCATATAACTCACTATCTAAAGTTCTCTAAATCCATATCCCTATGTGATTTATCAAACTAGATGCATGAAGAACGCTATCATCAACCCTAGATCGATCAAACCATATTCCTATGTGAATAATACGATCTATTCTATCGATTTCGATCCGAAACTAAACCCATATTCCTATGTAGTTCAGAATCTGAAATAATTGGCCAAGGGGTCAGCAAACACCAATCGAATAAAGCACAAATCGATAAAACCGAAACAAATCATGAGTCTTTCTTCTCCCTCTTTTCTTTCTGTTTCTGGTTTTGCTCAGTGTTTTTCCATGAACCGTGAGTAGATCCACGGCTGTGGGTTAGGGATTCGTTTGTGTTTTGGGTATGTTTGAACCCTAACTTGGTTGCGATTTGGATTTGTTTCGGTTTTATC